TCGGTAACAAGTGGTTCAAGGTAGGGATCAAGCAGAAGTGTAGTTGAGGAACAAGCCAAAGTTCGGTAATGAGTAGTAGCGAAGATATGGAAAGCAGTAGGGGTGATACAAGCGAGATATTGGCTGGAGAAAGCACAATAATCGAGCAAACAGGAAGTGCAATGGCATGGCTTAAATGGGAAGTTCATGGGAGGAGCTAAGTGTTCAAGGTTCAAGAGAAACAAGACACAAGGCAAGGTTGTCTAAGGAATCAGGCAGGGAGGTGTCCAGCATCTGAGGTGACTCAGCAAAAACAGATACTGCCAGACACAGCAGAGGTTGCAGGTTCAGATCCAGGTCCTGACAATAGCTCAGTGATCACCCGTCTGCATATTGGTACTTCTGTCCTGAGTAAAAAAAAAACCCCAAGTATGGAGTTTTTATTTTCCTGTCTTTACATATATGTTCCTTTTCCCCCTGGTGCTACAATTTCCTCCAAAAGCAAACTGCTGGGCAAAATCAGCCCTATACAAAGACAGATTGTGATCTGTGTAATACGAAGGTCACAAAACAAGTAAAAGTAACCCCCGTCGTACATTATTGTTAAATATTCAGTTGATTGACCACATCTAGAATAAAATGGGAATGTGTACCTCAAGCTCAAAGTGCCCTGAAGCTTCCAAGTCACTGGTGACCCCCTGCACTCTGCGCATTGCCATGTGACCACATCTAAATTGTCTGCATTGTGTGGCAATGAGATTCTGTATACAAGTACATCGCCGAAGCTGCTCTGATATCAGATTATGTGGAATAAGTCTACAATATCCCCACAGCTCTGATACATTAACTGCCAGACGCCTTGTCGCTTCACAATATGCAAACGCCTCTTCTCTATTTTCTGCAGCAGATGTGGAATTCATTCAGAGTCACGTCTGCTTTACAAGACTAAAACAAGTACAAATCAGCATCAACATATGAGGACACTGCAGAGTGAGCGAGGACTGACAGGTGATCCTCTGCTCCCAATAATACAGCTGATAGAAGCCACATACGTCTAAATACAGGACTGCTTTTATGTAATATACTGTATAACTTATATCTGGACAGCTGTGATGTCACTGCTATACAATATATCTTATATCTGGAGAGCGGTGATGTCACTCCTGTATAATATATATGGAGGGCGGTGATGTCACTCCTGTATAATATATGTTATATCTGGAGAGCGGTGATGTCACTCTGTATAATATATCTTATATCTGGAGAGCGGTGATGTCACTCCTGTATAATATATCTTATATCTGGAGAGCGGTGATGTCACTCTGTATAATATATCTTATATCTGGAGAGCGGTGATGTCACTCTGTATAATATATATGGAGGGCGGTGATGTCACTCCTGTATAATATATGTTATATCTGGAGAGCGGTGATGTCACTCCTGTATAATATATCTTATATCTGGAGAGCGGTGATGTCACTCTGTATAATATATCTTATATCTGGAGGGCGGTGATGTCACTCTGTATAATATATCTTATATCCGGAGGGCGGTGATGTCACTCTGTATAATATATCTTATATCTGGAGAGCGGTGATGTCACTCCTGTATAATATATCTTATATCTGGAGAGCGGTGATGTCACTCTGTATAATATATCTTATATCTGGAGAGCGGTGATGTCACTCTGTATAATATATCTTATATCTGGAGAGCGGTGATGTCACTCCTGTATAATATATCTTATATCTGGAGAGCGGTGATGTCACTCTGTATAATATATCTTATATCTGGAGAGCGGTGATGTCACTCTGTATAATATATCTTATATCTGGAGGGCGGTGATGTCACTCTGTATAATATATCTTATATCTGGAGAGCGGTGATGTCACTCTGTATAATATATCTTATATCCGGAGAGCGGTGATGTCACTCTGTATAATATATCTTATATCTGGAGAGCGGTGAGGTCACTCTGTATAATATATCTTATATCTGGAGAGCGGTGATGTCACTCCTGTATAATATATCTTATATCTGGAGAGCGGTGATGTCACTCCTGTATAATATATCTTATATCTGGAGAGCGGTGATGTCACTCCTGTATAATATATCTTATATCGGGAGAGCGGTGATGTCACTCTGTATAATATATCTTATATCTGGAGAGCGGTGATGTCACTCCTGTATAATATATCTTATATCCGGAGGGCGGTGATGTCACTCTGTATAATATATCTTATATCTGGAGAGCGGTGATGTCACTCTGTATAATATATCTTATATCCGGAGAGCGGTGATGTCACTCCTGTATAATATATCTTATATCTGGAGAGCGGTGATGTCACTCCTGTATAATATATCTTATATCTGGAGAGCGGTGATGTCACTCCTGTATATAATATATCTTATATCCGGAGAGCAGTGATGTCACTCCTGTATAATGTATCTTATATCTGGAGGGCGGTGATGTCACTCTGTATAATATATCTTATATCCGGAGAGCGGTGATGTCACTCCTGTATAATATATCTTATATATGGAGAGCGGTGATGTCACTCTGTATATTAATATATCTCATATCTGGAGAGCGGTGATGTCACTCCTGTATAATATATCTTATATCTGGAGAGCGGTGATGTCACTCTGTATAATATATCTTATATCCGGAGAGAGGTGATGTCACTCTGTATAATATATCTCATATCTGGAGAGCGGTGATGTCACTCCTGTATAATATATCTCATATCTGGAGAGCGGTGATGTCACTCCTGTATAATATATCTTATATCCGGAGAGTGGTGATGTCACTCCTGTATAATATATCTTATATCTGGAGAGCGGTGATGTCACTCTGTATAATATATCTTATATCTGGAGAGCGGTGATGTCACTCTGTATAATATATCTTATATCCGGAGAGCGGTGATGTCACTCCTGTATAATATATCTTATATCTGGAGAGCGGTGATGTCACTCTGTATAATATATCTTATATCTGGAGAGAGGTGATGTCAGACCAGGCCACCTTATCCATTCCTCCATGGTCCAATTCTGATGCTCATGTGCCCATTGTAGGCACTTTTGGCTTTGCACACGGGTCAGCATGGGCACCCTGACCAGTCTGCCACAATACAGCTCTATACACAAGAAACTGGGATGCTCTGTGTGCTCTGACACCTTTCTATCAGAACCAACATTCACTTTTTCAGCATTTAAGCTCCAGTAGCTCTTCTATTGGATCGGACTACATGGGCCAGCCTTTGCTTTTCACCTACATCTATGAGACTTGGCTGCCCATGACCCTGTCTCCGGTTTTCCTTCTTTGGACCACTTTTGGTGGTGGTCGGCGACCACTTCAGACCGAGAACGTCCTACAAGAGCTGCAGTTTTAGAGTTGCTCTGACCCAGCTGTCAAGACATTACAATTTGGCCCTTGTTAAAGTTGCGCAAACCCTTTCGCTTGTTAATTTTTTCTACTTTCAACACATCAGCTTCAGAGACCACATGTTCACTAATTGCTTAATATATCCCACCCATTGTAACAAAAAACTTTACCTGTCAGCGGTCAAAGTTACAACTGATCGGTGTAATACAATAACATTGTAGATTGTTGATCCAGGAAGTATCCAGTTGTGCCTTTGGGAATCGGGAAGGAATTGTTCTACTGTTAAAACAAATTGGATGATATTGTATAGAGTTTTTTGCCCTGCTCTAGAACACCTGTGGGTATACGGTTTGCAAGATGAAATTTTTTAATGTATTTTTGTCTTTTCATTTCTAATTACATAAAGGTGCAATCCATGACAGACCCTGATGTCTCTATTATTGCTCAGGGTTACTCAGAAAGTGTTGAAACCTAGGACCAGGGCCGGGACAAGGGGGTGGGCAGCGTGGGCAGCGTGGGCGCAGTGGTATCATGGGAGGTGAAGAGGGGCACCGCATGGAAAGTTCCTACCTATAAGCTGACTGGAGTAGTGATGGCAGCTCACTACTCCTGTCAACTTAGCTCTGGGGGAGACAAGCCAGGTCTGGAGATGAGAAGTTAGCTGGGAGGAGGGAAGGGCTGTGCTCTCTCTCCTCACCAGCACCTCCTCTTGCAACTGCAGCTCTCCTGGATAGAGACTGCCGGATTGCCACTGTGCAGTATTCACCCTCCCCCATCTCCTCCCAGGAAAGGAGTGTGGGTTGGGGGCGGGTAAGAAAACACTGCACAGTGGCAATCTGACAGCTAGTGTAAGCAACTCATTCACTCCCTTAACATATCACGCCTCGACTACTGTAACTCCCTCCTCATCGGCCTACCTCACCGCAGACTATCCCCGCTTCAGTCTATCTTGAATGCTGCGGCCAGACTCATCCACCTTACTAACCGCTCCATTTCTGCCACCCCCCTCTGCCAATCCCTCCACTGGCTTCCGATTGCCCAACGGATAAAATTCAAAATGCTAACACTGACGTATAAAGCTGTTCATAATACTGCCCCAAACTACATCACCGATCTTATCTCCAAATACCACCCAAAACGTACTCTCCGCTCCTCACAAGAACTCCTACTCTCTAGCTCCCTGGTCTCCTCCTCCCATGCTCGTCTCCAGGACTTCTCCAGGGCTTCCCCCATCCTCTGGAACTCCCTACCACAATCCATCAGGCTATCACCTACTCTGCTCACCTTTAGGCGCACTCTGAAAACCTATCTCTTCAGGGAAGCCTACCCCGCCCTCAGCTAATTACTGAACTCCTCCACTCTCCCTACTACTCCATCCCCCACAGCTATTTCCTCCTGTACCACTATCCCCTCCCTCCTAGATTGTAAGCTCCAAGGAGCAGGGCCCTCATACCCCTCATATACTGAGTCGTATTGTTACTGTACTGTCTCCCACCATAATGTAAAGCGCTGAGCAAACTGTCGGCACTATATAAATCCTGTATAATAATAATAGTGGCATCTCTAGTGCAGGGTCCCAATACTGCAATCCCAAAGCCCTCTATAGCTCTCCTATAGTGCTTGCATTTTGTTTTTTTTTGGGGGGGGGGAGATTTTTGCTGACGTATAATGCTCATATATCTTGGTTGGGCGCTGTCTGAAACCTTTGGCCTGGGCGCCGTATGACCTTGTCCTGCCACTGCCTAGGACAGCCAGGCAATTTGGTATTTTGGTAGCAGAGATCTACTCTTTCTTCTGCTTAGTTTAGTCTGAAATAAAGAGTTTGACACATAAACAGATGGTCAGAATTGCAGAGGTAAAGGACTATCATGACTTTGTCCAATTTCAATTCATATTCTGCTCTCATCCAAGGGCCATTAAAGTGAAAGTTTGAAACTTTGGACCTGCATTGCTTGAAGTTACCTGACCAAATGACAAAGCAGCACATTGCCCAGCATGTACAAAGTGCCTTACCCGTACAAAACGCTGGTGTCATCTATCACACAAAGACATTCGTCCCTCGCTGATGGCCGAGGCGCAGAACAAGCCGTAGAACAATGAATAAAGGATGATTGGCGAGGGATGAGCAGGATCTCGATGTACGGAGATCAACAAAGGCCAGCAGATTGACAGGGCATCGATGAACATCCTAATCAGCCATAAAGCTCTTTCATTTCATGAACCGTCTTCCAGACAAACTAGGTAATTGTTCGAAGAGATTCTACTTATTATGTGGAATCAAAACGGTTTCACCCGTGCAATTTGAGGAATTAGCGGAGTGACAGATAACCTCGTTATCCCAGCAATTAGTGTAATCATGCAACCATTGAGGTACACTTCTCTTCAGTTGAAGGAAATTATACCGGGGAAGAAAGGGAATTAAAACCATTTGTTCTGATCTATGAACAAAATGATTTGATTTGGAAACTTGCTTATCTTTCATAGAAGTTAATGTTAAAAATATCAATAAATAAATTGAGGTTTAATAGTCAATATCACCAGTTATTCAGATTGTTCATGAAAGGATAATATTTATGCAACCTCAACATCTAATTCAGTAATGATAACACCGGCTGCCCTCATTACCCAATAAATATACATTCTATTAGGGGATTGATATAATTATGAACGCCGTTGTGGATTTCACTGGTTGTCATTAATATGTAATGAATAGGGCATAATGATGACTGGAGGTAATAATGGGCACAGCGGGCGTACAGACCCGGGAACTCAGCACAAGGATGGTGGAACCCTTCATAATGGGCACAGCAGGTATACAGACCCAAAAACTCAGCATAGGGATGGTGGGAACCTCTCATAATGGGCACAGCAGGTGTACAGACCAAGGAAATTAGCACAGGGATGGTGGGAACCCCTCATAATGGGCACAGCAGGTATACAGACCCGGGAACTCAGCACAGAGATGGTGGAACCTCTCATAATGGGCACAGCAGGTGTACAGACCCGGGAAATCAGCACAGGGATGGTGGAACCTCTCATAATGGGCACAGCAGGTGTACAGACCTGGGAACTCAGCACAGGGATGGTGGAACCTCTCATAATGGGCACAACAGGTGTACAGACTCAGGAACTCAGCACAAGGATACATAAATATAAGCGCTGAAGCTCCATGAAAGGCTGGTAAGGTTTCCAAAGGCTTCCCCATTTGTTATTTAAACACTGAGAAAGCAAGGAAAAATGTAACTAAAATAAGCAGAGCAGTTCATCATTTGGGACAAACATCCACAGATGCCTACTATTTGGCAACAGACTGGTTCTGAATCAAAATTTGTTTCCAACTTTTACACTATATGGCCAAAAGTTGTTTGACACCTGACCTTCACACCTATGTATGACATCACATTCCAAAACCATGGGTATCAATATTGAATAACTCCTCCCCCCATCCCTTTTTCAGCTATAACAGCCTTCAGTTGTCTGGAAAGGTTTGCTATATGATTTTTGAGTGTGTCTGTGGCCAACTGAGCCAAAAAGAACATGTTTAGGGTCGGCATGATGGTCAGATGTCCACATACTACTGACCATGTGGCAGGCTTGATGGTCAGATGTCCACTTATTGCTGACCATATGGTAGGTGTGATGGTCAGATGTCCATATGCTGCTGACAATATGGTAGGCGTGATGGTCTGGTGTCCACTTATTGCTGACCATAAGGTAGGCGTGATGGTCTGGTGCCCACATACTGCTGACCATAAGGTAGGTGTGATGGTCTGGTGCCCACATACTGCTGACCATAAGGTAGGCGTGATGGTCTGGTGTCCACATACTGCTGACCATATGGCAGGTGTTATGGTCACATCCTGTTGACCATAAATGGTAGGTGTGATGTAAACGTGTCCATATGCTGCTTACCATATGGTAGGTGTAATGGTCATGTGTCCACACACTGTTATCCATATGGTAGGCATGATGGTCAGATGTCCACATACTGCTGACCATGTGGTAGGTATGATGGTCAGGTGTCCACTGCCCGAGGGCCTGGGGTCAGTAGGGGGCCCCATGAGATGCCCCTGGTTCCTTTTTCATAGGCTTTTTTGAGTTTGGGCAAGGACACAGGGGCCCCATGATCTCCTATTGCCCGGGGGCCCCATGAGTTGTCAGTCCGCCCCTGGTCACGTGTCCGAATACTGCTGACCATATGGTAGGTGTGATGTTCATGTGTCCACATACTATTATCCATATGGTAGGTGTGATGGTCACATATCCACATACTGTTGACCATATGGTAGGTGTGATGGTCACATGTCCACATACTGTTGACCATATGGTAGGTGTTATGGTCACGTGCCCACATCCAGCTGACCATATGGTAGGTGTGATGTTCATGTGTCCACATACTATTATCCATATGGTAGGTGTGATGGTCACATGTCCACATACTGTTGACCATATGGTAGGTGTTATGGTCACGTGTCCACATACTGTTGACAATATGGTAGGTATGATGGTCACGTGTCCACATACTGTTGATGATATGGTAGGTATGATGGTCACGTGTTCATACACATTTGCCCATATATTGTACCTCTTTAGAAATATGCAATAAAATAGTAGAAAGTACACAACGCTCTGTAAAGACAAGGCACTGCGGTATATTTTCCATCCACATCCTAAATGAATATTAATAATGTTGGAAAACAATTCTTCCAGAATGCATTACTGGAATATTTAATATCAGACGATTCAGTCATATATTCTAGATTCCCCAGTTGTCCCCTAATGCAGTCAGTTTAGACGGAATATTAATTCCCCTTGGCGTCGTTGGAGCATAAACTCCCATAATTCATTCAGAAAACTTACAACCTGATCCTTTTCCCTGACCGCCGTTATTAAAGACCAAATTAAAAATGACAGCCATGAAATCAACCTGTTAACGCCCAGCGAAGTAGTGGAGGCGAAAGCAGCGGACAGTCCAATAAGGTAGGTGAACCATCGACCGTTTAATACAGAAGAAAATAATACAGAACGATTACAGCGCTGGGAATGAGCCTACACAACACAGCCATTTAATAACGAGGCAATTCAAATATTACCCATAGGCATGGCTTACTGCGCGGGGGATTCTTACCATGATTTACAGGTTTACACAGATACTGTATGAAGATCATTAAACTGAATGGGGTCTGGGGGGGTCTTTAAAAACAAGCTATAAAAGATGATCCGGCTATTCATGCCAATACAAAAGACAAACAAGTTCAGCAAAAAGGGAAACTGTGGTGTGCAAATACGAAAATTGATTCATCGGGTTCTAAGGCTGGGGGACCGGTCCAAAAAAATCTCAATGGTTTTTTTTTTTGGGGGGGGGGGGGTGTAGTAATAAGATGAAAACACTTGATTTTGTCATGGAATGCTCACCATAAGCCTGTTGTAACAGAGCTAAGGTTTCACTCACAGTTTTCACACAAACTTTGATGTTAATTCGATGCTCCACTCATTTTCCACCAACAGCACAACGCACTTGTTATTTTTTCTACTACTTTGTAAAGATTGGGCCAACTGGTCTACGACCCAGGAGCAGGGACGGACTGACGATTTGAGCACTCGGGCACTGCCTGAGGGCCCGGGGTCAGTAACGGGCCCCATGAAATACCCCTGGTACCTTTGTATAGGCTTTTTTGGGTGTGCTTTGAGTGTGGGCGAAGACACAGGGGCACCATGATCCCCTATTGCCCGGGGGCTCCATGAATTGTCAGTCCTCCCCTGCCCAGGAGAGTGCGAGTCACAACATGTCAGGAAGAGATAGGAAACATTTGTTTAGTTTCAGAATGTATTCGTTTTGTTAATAATTTCATTTCATTATGTTAGAATGTTCCATTTTTGGAATTAGTTTCGTGTATTCAGGTTTGGTGTGCATATTCATTATTTTCAAATCAATTCGAAATTCAAAATTCCAATTTTGGAAAATTGATATATTCGTTCTATTTTATTCTGTTCTATTTTTTCTCTTCTATTCTATTCTTTTATTTTCTATCCTATTCTTTTATATTCTATTCCTTTAAATTCTAATCTGATTTATTCCATTCTTTCTTCTCTATTCTATTTTATAAAGCAACCTGAGTAGAAATCATCAAGTGACTTTTTCCATGAATTCTCTTAGCAATTGTATTTTTACAGGATAGGTTGCCAGGTCTTTCCCCAACCCCCACCATGCAGGAGATCCTGCATGGCCAGGGATGAGCTACGACAATTTAGACAGGAGCCAATTAACCTACAAGCATGTCTTTGGAGTGTGGGAGGAAACCGGAGTACCCTGAGGAAACCCACGCAAGCACAGGGAGAACCATGCAAACTCCATGCAGGAGGCACCATGGTCGGGAACCGAACCCATGAATATATTGCAATACGTTTCAATAATGAATTCGGATAATTCGTTTCTTTATCATTTATTTCAGATTTGATGAAATTCATTACTATTGTGATTCAGAAACTCGAATACATCCGAATATCCAAATAACTAAAAGTTTGTCTGATTTTTGATTTGTAACGAAACAAATTGTACATGTCTGTTTCTTGCTGGTGCTCCCCTGTCTCTCAGCACCACCAAGGATTATGATGCCCATTTACTGATGGCTGTGAAATAACATCCTTATTGTATTTATTGCAATATGAATGGAATGAAGACTATATTTGTTCTATTTAATTCTATTCTGTTCTATTCTATTTTGATTCTTTTATTTTCTATTCTATTCTTATCTATTCTATTTCTTTAAATGCAATTATATTCTGATCTATTCTATTTTATTTATTAAAGCAGCCTGAGTAGAAATCATCTTATTTCACTTTTATATCTTATTGTATTTATTGCAATATGTTTCCATGTCAAATTCTATTTTTTTCTATTTTTTATATTCTAATCTTTTATATTGTTCTTTTCTATTCTTTTATTTTCTATTATAGTCTATTCTTTTCTATTCCATTTCATTCCTTTATACTCTATTCAGGGGCGGACTGACCATTTGGAAACTCGGGCACTGCCCGAGGGCTGGGGTCAGTAGGGGGCCCCATGAGATGCCCCTGGTACCTTTTTCATAGGTTTTTTTGAGTTTGGGCAAGGACTCAGGGGCCCCATGATCCCCTATTGCCCGGGGGCCCCATGAGTTGTCGGTCCGCCCCTGACTCTATTCTGTTCTGATCTGATCTATTCTATTAAGCATCCTCAGCAGATATCATCTTATTTTGCGTACCTTACCTTCACTATACCTTACCGTATTTATTGCAATGTTTCCCTTTCAAATTAAAATTATTTTTTAAATTAATTTTCAAATTCAAATTCATTTTCAAATTTGAATTTAGATAATTTATTGAAATTCATTATTATTGTGATACGGAACTTCGCATACGCTCGGGTGTGAATGGCTGTGTGACTCACCACCATAGCGCTATGCTGTGGGCATTCTGGGAAATAATGTAAAAAAGCCCCTGCGCTTAGATTGCACTAATCGATAAAAAGCTGCTAGCACCTACTATGTACCAATGAATACCATACACAAAAACAATAGAATATATAAATGGTGCAGCGCTAATACTAAATACAGCTAGCAGTAAAATAAACTCGGAAAGTCCATGCAATGAAGTAATCACAACATTAAAATCTTAGGTGAATATATACACCCTCATTAAATGACAATATAAAACATAGATCAATCACTGGTGCCAAGGTGACCCGCACTTAATCCGTGACTAAGGAGTGGTGAATCAGTCCACTTTATGCACATAAGTGAAAAAATCTTCATACACGTGAATGTGTCATACGTGCCAAAAAATCCCAAAATGGTCTGAGTGCCCCCTCACCTCCTTGCAATGACCACAAGGGCCAACCAGCGTTATAATGTTCAAACAATCTCCTGCGAATCCCTTTCCCAATAAGACTGTAATGACCGGAGCTTTAACCAGACCTCTTCCTGCACTCCACCGCTCTGGCAACACCTCTAGGATCCACTCAGAGACACAAACGAAACAGGCTCCATAGTACAATATTATCATATTTATTAAATAAAATTAAAATACCCACTCACATGTTAGCAGGTAACAGCAAACATCTCGAGTTGTCCTCATGACATGTGGCTTCATGGAGTCCCAATATGGCGCGGGCGCCGGAAATGACGTCACCGCGATCCGGAAATGACGATGGACGTACCAACGCGTTGCGTCACGGATAGCACGTGACTTCATCAGGGTTAAAGCTCCGGTCATTACAGTCTTATTGGGAAAGGGAGTCGCAGGAGATCGTTTGAACATTATAACGCTGGTTGGCCCTTGTGGTCATTGCAAGGAGGTGAGGGGGCACTCAGACCATTTTGGGATTTTTTGGCACGTATGACACATTCACGTGTATGAAGATTTTTTCACTTATGTGCATAAAGTGGACTGATTCACCACTCCTTAGTCACGGATTAAGTGCGGGTCACCTTGGCACCAGTGATTGATATATGTTTTATATTGTCATTTAATGAGGGTGTATATATTCACCTAAGATTTTAATGTTGTGATTACTTTATTGCATGGACTTTCCGAGTTTATTTTACTGCTAGCTGTATTTAGTATTAGCGCTGCACCATTTATATATTCTATTGTTTTTGTGTATGGTATTCTGGGAAATAAATTGTCACACTTCGTAAGGGCATTGAACCTTTTGTAAACAAGTGTTCATGAAAGAGGAGGCAAAGAGAAAGAGTGAGCAACATGTACATCTACTTTGGGTGATTCATACAAAGCAGCTCTCACAGCCTCATGCTTCAGGTTCTTGGGAGGAGTTAATGCTCAACACACAGGGCTCATTGAAACATGACTAATGTTGACTATGGCCTCCTTTCTAGCCTCATAGAGTGGCTGTGGATGCACAGAGCTTTGTGCATCTTTTAAAAGCCCAATATCTGCTCATGTCCCGAACCCCCTTGCGCCCAACCTGTGCAAAAAGGAAAAAAAAAAAAATACTGCCGAGCAAAAAAAAAAAAAAAAAGTCTCAAGAGTAATGGCGGTGTTACAGAGATCTACAACGCGATGTCTGACGTTCTCTGCGGCGATAGTGATTTGGTAGACTCCAACACATCAGCTCAGCACTTTATTGTCTCTCTTCCTTTATCTGATAACTTGGAGTCATCAGCAAGCAGCAGGATTATACCCCAAGGTGCGTCTCTTTTCTGCAACATCGAAATAAAAAAGCAGAACGCATCTACCTGCGAAAGACGGTGAGGAGATACGTGTCCGCCGCAGGGAATCAAAGTGAGCAGCGCCGGCATATTAAGAGCTCGGGGTGGAAACTTTCAGTGTATCATGTCGTTCCCCGGGGGCACAGACGATGTTTGCGCCGCGTAACTGAACTCTTTAATGCAGGAATCATTTTTCTCTGAATTGACAAACACGAAGAGGCATTAAACTAATGCACATTAAGTAGCTTAAATATTTACTCCTTGTCATGGGGATCAAGTAAGCACCGGAGACAGATGAAAGGATGTTCAAAGGAAAACACACACTCTAACAAGGATCTTATAGTTGCAAACATTTAAAGGCCAACTCCACCCTGAAATGATACTTTGGTTTTGTGTGGTGACCTGGGCAGCTTCTTGCAGCACTAAGTGAACAGTTGTTTCTGGTAATGATGTCTTATAGTGTAGGAAGGCTTGGACTATGGGGGGGGGGGAGAATGCCAACAAAGAGGTGAGTATACTCAATTAAAGTGTACCTAAAGTTGATTTTTTGGGGGTTTAGATGGAATGTGAAAGGGTTAGAACCTCAGTCAGGTTTTATTTTTTATTAGTGGTCTTCAAAGAGCAACCCACAGGCTAGATCTGGCCCTCTGATTCCCCTTATCTGGTCCTTCGGGCATTATTCCTCCCACTGAAATGGGGTACAATTCCTCTCAATAATACCAATATCTATATTCCTATCACTGACACCAACGATGGGGCACTATTCCTCCCACTGACACCAATGTATGGGGCACTATTCCTCCCACTGACACCAATGATGGGGCACTATTCCTCCCACTGACACCAATGATGGGGCACTATTCCTCCCACTGACACCAATGATGGGGCACTATTCCTCCCACTGATACCAATGATGGGACACTATTCCTCCCACTGACACCAATGATGGGGCACTATTCCTCCCACTGACGGGGCACTATTCCTCTCACTGACTGACACCAACGATGGGGCGCTATCCCTCCCATTAACACCAATGATGGGGAACTATTCACCCCACTGACACCAACGATGGGGCACTATTCCTCCCACTGACACCAACGTTGGGGCACTATTCCTCCCACTGACACCAACGATGGGGCACTATTCCTCCAACTAACAGAAATGATGGGGCACTATTCCTCCCACTGACACCAGTGATGGGGCACTATTCCTCCCACTGACACCAACGATGGGGCACTATACCTCCCACTGACACCAACAATGGGACACTATTCCTCCGATTAACACCAATGATGGGGCACTATTCCTCCCACTGACACCAATGATGGGGCACTATTCCTCCCACTGATACCAATGATGGAGCACTATTCCTCCCACTGATACCAACGATGGGGCACTATTCCTCCCACTGATACCAATGATGGAGCACTATTCCTCCCACTGATACCAATGATGGGGCACTATTCCTCTCACTGATACCAATGATGGGACACTATTCCTCCCACTGACACCAATGATGGGACACTATTCCTCCCACTGACACCAATGATGGGGCACTATTCCTCCCACTGATACCAATGATGGGACACTATTCCTCCCACTGACACCAATGATGGGGCACTATTCCTCCCACTGATACCAATGATGGGACACTATTCCTCCCACTGATACCAATGATGGGGCACTATTCCTCCCAGTGACACCAACGATGGGGCACTATTCCTCCCACTGACACCAACGATGGGGCACTATTCCTCCCACTGACACCAACGATGGGGCACTATTCCTCCCACTGACACCAACGATGGGGAACTATTCCTCCCTCTAACACCAACGAACGGGCAGTATTCCTCCCACTGTCACCAAAAATGGTGCAAAAATGTCAGCACCGACACCAACAATGGGGCACTTATCCCCCCATTATTGTGCCTCCTACTGACCACAGGCTCTATTTAATTATTTAATCCAACAGACCTCCAAGCCCAAGGCATTATTTAGTCCTACTGATGCTGGGGCCTTTTCTACTTCCTCTGGCCTCCTAATGTCTGAGGATTAGAAAACTCCTATTAGTAAAGAGTAGAATCCTGCCATATATAGACTCACCGGCCGCTTTATTAGGTACACCTTGCTAGTACCGGGTTGGACCCCATTTTGATTTCAGAACTGCCTATATTTTTCGTGGCATAGATGCAACAAGGTGTTGGAAACATTCCTCAGAGAATTTGGTCCATATAGACATGAGTTACTGTTGCCTTTTTATCATCTGTAACCAGTCTGCCCATTCTCCTCTGACCTCTGACATCAACAAGGCATTTTCCTCCACACAACTGCCACTCACTGGATATTTTCTCTTTTTTGGACCATTCTCTGTAAACCTTAGAGATGGGTTGTGTGTGAAAATCCCAGTAGATCAGCAGCTTTTGAAATACTCAGACTAGCCCATCAGACACCAACAACCATGCCACGTTCAAAGTCACTTAAATTCCCTTTCTCCCCATTCAGATGCTCGGTTTGAACTTCAGCAAGTCGTCTTCACCACATCTAGATGCCTAAATGCACTGGGTTGCTGCCATGTGATTTTCTGATTAGCAATTTGTGTTACCGACCAATTTAACAGGTGTACCTAATAAAGTAGCTGGTGAGTGTAATTGAGCTGGAAGCCAAGCATATGTGTTGGAAGTCCAAACTCCAACATGTTTGTTTGGTACTCTTTGTGCTTTATAGGTACTCTATGGTCCCAACATACACTTGTATTTTATAACATCAACATTGTAATAACAATACAAACAATAGTTATATTTGACAATCAACTACAAGCTTGCTTGAAAATTCTCCTTTCATGTTGTGAGTCCTGCCTGTCGGCTTGATATCGTTTTCTACGACTTCCTGGATTTCCTGCATGCTTTGCAATTTCTCCTCCGGTCTTTACTTTCAATTCCTAAGGAC